GCCACAGTCTAACTGTGTATCCCGGGATTATCATGCCCGATCTCTCTGCTGAGGAAGTGCAGGTTTTTATGGAGCTGCTGCTGATGTTTGGGTGTAGCCTATCTTGCCACTTCCCATCACAGAACAAAACTGGTAATCGAGCCCGTACCTTGCACAGGGAGGAGGCAGCTCATAGCTGCCAGCAAAAGGAGTGACCTTTGCTTTGTTTAAAAATAAACAAAAAATAAATAAAAATAAAAACAACGCAAGAGACAAGATGAGTTCACAAAACTATCACAGAGCTCCTAAGCATCTTTTGGCCCTCCTGCAATGGGGCTGTACTTCCCCAGTGGGTGTTTTCCTTGGGCTGCACTTAATTCTCAGCATCTTTCAATTGCGGAGGCCATCCCAATCAATCTCGTCTGATGGCTGAGCTGCTTCATAAGGGTACGCGGTTGGGAGGGCTGAAAAAGTGGAATCTTAAATCTCAGAGAGAAAGGAAAAGGTTATTCTTTATATGCCTGTAAGGACACTGTCCTGCTGGATAGGTGGGGGATTTTCAGCAGCTTGTTTCGGGTCTGTAGCACAGCTGCAGTGCTGACTGCATGGAGTTTTTATAATCCCCTAATGGGAAGGGAAGACAAATCGCTGCAGCAGGTTTCAGGCGTTGAGTGTAACAGTGCCTCAAATACCATGCTCCATCAGTTTAATGGAAGTGACCTACACCAGGAAAACCTCACCCTACCAAAAAATAGCAGGGTGGGAGGGAATGAGGTGATGGCAGGGACTTGGGGTGCTGGCAGCTGCTGCCCCTTCTCCATTGCGGCTTTGAGATCTGCTTGCTTAGGCTGAAACAATGTATTTATTAAGCCCAAACGAGCAGGATTTATTATCCATGAAGCCTTGGTTCTTACCTTTTCAGCCACCTTGTGCTCTTTAACCTCTGCGCATGGTTGTGAGCTTTGCCACCCCTGCTTGACAGCAATTTGCCTCCAAATAAACAGCGCATTCATGGCTGGGGGGGATTTCTCTCTGTCTATAGGTCTCTGGTACATAGCTTCCTCTTCGAGATGTAGTTTAGTTGCAAGCAAAATATGTAGGTAATGTCAGTTGAATTCCTGCCAAAGTTCTAATTAGATGAAGTGGCGACCTGGTCTGATCCTCTGTCCCATGACTGCCCGAAAAGGCAGCTTCTTCAAGTAAGGAGAAGGTGAAGTTCAGGCATTAAAACTGATGAAATTTCTTTTAAGTATCAAGTTTTCTTGATTAAGTATCATTAAGTATCAAGTTTTTTCTTGTGTTTCCTCTTAATACGCTACTTGTCTCTTCTTTTGGCATCACCATCACTACTTTTTTTTTTTTTTTTTTAAGAGATGTTGATATTCTGGCTCGCCATCTCTTACATCACTGTGTTTCTTACATCACAGCTCTTACGAGGAGTTTCTGGTGATGAGCAACCTGGAGGCAGGAGCCAAGTCAAGTCTGTTGGGCAACAGTAAGAGTCCGTGGGATGGAGTCACACTAACTTGGCAGGGGCCTCTGCTCCCCCATTTTCTGTGGGTCATATTGGCTTTGCTTACCAGTCCAGGTCTTAAAGTTTAGCTACACTGGCTGCACGTTATAGTGGTGACTTTTACCCACCTAAACTGTTGGGTTTGGTCATGTCCCCTTACAGGTTTCTCTCTTCGTCTTCTCGTCATCTGAGGCTGTGTGGTGGCGAAGAACACCTTCTCCAGTCTCTGTGATGCTGAATATTGCCCCACAGTAGGGTGTGAAAGCATGTAGTCGCTCTTACAGCCAAATTTGCCTTGAGTGATTGCTGGTATTCGTCCCTGGAGGACACACCTCAGCTGGGATGAATCTGGCCTGATTTATGGTGTGTGTTGGCACTCAGTGCCTAAATCCTTGCACTGAATTTCATACTTGCATAAAGCTCTCTTTGTGAGGACACCTATTTCTCATGCACTTTCATAACGTCAATCTCTTTGCATGGAAGTGGTGTTTTCTCCAAGGCTTTGTTGCTTTGTGCAAGTGGGTGCTTGGACGCTGAGAATACCCTTACACCCCTGTTCAGGTCTCAGGGCTGCGAGAGGCCAGGCGAGCTTGCTTCTGTCTCCTGAGCCATTGGGCACAAATGCTCAGCAGCATCACCGTGATGTTTTATGCTGTTAAGATGCAGCACGTACAGGCTTTTGATCTTTGCAGCTATGCTTTGGACATATCATCATCTACGTGCTGATTAACACCAAGCAGAGGGTGTGCTGCTGCTTTGGACCACTGGCAAGCATCGTCCCAGGCCTCTACTTAACCCAGTTTCAGGGGCTGAGATCATGAATCTGACTAGCCATGTCTGAAGCTCTTTTTAGGAGCTGATCTAAGCCTTGGCAGGGGTTTGGTGTCCTTCTGATCTGAGGCAACCAAGAAACTGTTCTGCTTGTTTGTCCTCAGCTTTTTGGGGTATCCTGGGTATTAATGGGGCAGAGGAGAGGCAACCTGTTCCCATCAGGCAGGCAGAAGCCAAGTTTTGGGGACCTCTCCTCTCAAGTTGGGGTACAGAGAGCCTACAGCTGAATCCCACTCCATTACTGCTTTGTAGTGACACTGGTTTGATTGATACTGGGTGGCACTTGACACGAGTGTGTTCTTCCACAGGGGAAACGGGAACCTGAGGGGTGCTTGTGTTCATCTTGACACGTGGGCAAGGGCTTCTCAGCACCTCTTTGAATTAGGCAGGGCTGCCTGTCAGCTTGAGCTGGGCTTCACTAAGGCAGCTTCTATCTACCCCTTGCTCTCAAGGGATCTTCAGTTCTCTTTGGCCCTGTCTGTTCAAGTTCACAAGCACCTTTCTTCTATCGAGAGGCTTTTCCCCTGCCACGCACGCACACGCCATGAAAGCAGTGTTGGCTCTGAACTTGATCCTTGCATTCCTTTCTGAAAGCAGAAAAAAAGCACTTCATGGTTTGGATAGTGCAAAGGGGGTTTTTTTGTGTTTAACCGCCAAACTTACCAGTCTTTTCAAGCTCTCTGAGCCTGTCTGCAATTCATCCTCCAGGCTTCTTTTCCTTGCCAGGCGGTGTGCAGAAAAAAGTCGTAGACTATTGAGGTGCATCTGTGTTAAATTATGCTATAAATCTGCAAAAGTGATGTTGCTTCCAGTGATCCAAGCCTGCTCCAGACCCCAAGCCGCAGCGGTGGTCTTGTCGAGGACTTTGCTCATTTTTGATACCAGTAACTGCAGACTACATCCATTGACCACCATGGAGGCACCTGAATGTGGGTTATTCCTTAAATGCTCGCGTGGCTGTCTAAAGTCGTCTCTTCTCTGGATCTTCTTCAGATCGGTTGCCTGACAGGAAGGGGGTGGTGTGGGTATAGCCGAGGCTCTTTTTGCTGTTAAGCAACCTGGTATTTTAAGATGAAAAAAATACGGGTATATGTGATGCCTGGATATCAGAGAAAAGAACATTAGCAGGGTTCTCATTCTGCCCTGGGTCACACGGCAGGGGTTGGAAGGGACCTCAGGAGATCACCCAGTCCAACCCCCCTGCTCAAGCAGGCTCACCCAGAGCAGGGTGCACAGGACATCTTCCAGGCAGGCTTTGAATATCTCCAGAGAAGGAGACTCCACACCCCCCTGGGCAGCCTATTCCAGGGCTCGGTCACCCTCAAAGTAAAGAAGTTCTTCCGCATATTCAACTGGAACCTCTTCTGATTCAGTTTGTGCCCATTGCCCCTTGTCCTGGCACTGGGCACCACTGAGAAAAGTCTGACTCTGTCCTCGTGACACCCACCCGTGAGATATTTGTATGTGTTGATGAGATCCCCTCTCAGCCTTCTCTTCTCCAGGCTAAACAAGCCCAGCTCCCTCAGCCTTTCCTCATAGGGGAGATGCTCCAGTCCCCTCACCATCTCTGTAGCCCTTCTCTAGACTCTCTCCAGTAACTCCTCATCCTTCTTGAACTGGGGAGCCCACAAAGGGTCTGCGCCAGACCCTTTCCCACTGCCAGGTTTTTTCTCATTTCCTCTGTAGTGCCCTCATAAATATCTATTTCTACTGGAACCTGACCTTGCATGGCCTTACGCAGCCTATTTTTGCAAGCAGAGGTGGCATCCTAAATGCCATGTGTTTTTGCCAGCCTTTGAGAAGCCTTTCAAGTGCTGAATATTAAAGCTGGGGTCGGTTACTGTAATATTATCAAGGAGTAGATCTTAAAAACCTTGTCGATGTGACGGTTCCCTCCAGGGGCAGCGGGGGCTGCGGAGGGTGCAGTGTTGGGGCTGGTGGTGTGCAGGCAGCTGTGTGTGGGCCAAGCACCTGCGTTGTTTGGAGGTGCTTGCTGCCGACACATGGGGGTTTGGCTTTCTGTCAGGCTTTCACGCAGAGGGATGTATCTGACTTCTTTAGCTAAGTCTCAGAAGATGGAGGGGAGCTGATCTGGCAGTTGCTCTTCAGTCTTTTCTCTTCCCAGCCTGGAAAAAAAAAAAATAATGCAGAGCTCAGATTTCATTAGGGGATTTTTTTCATTTAAGCATTCAGCTGTTCATTTAGCTGTTCCAGCATAACGCAACTCTTCACAAAGAGCACTAACCTCTTCTGGCAGGTTATGGTCTGTAGTGCTTTGTTGAACGTATAGGAATATGTGTACGTGGCTGCTGGCATATGTTTGGCTTGAACTCGAGCGGGGGAAGAAAAGTCAGTGAATCTAGCTTGCATGGCACAGACCGTTTCCCTGGAAAATGGTCTGGTTTTTGTTTTGACTCTCTTTGTGTGGAAGAACTAAATTACTAACTAAATTACTTTTTCCCTCCCTAACATTCCTGGCTTTCATAATGAGCTTGTGTAGAGGGTATCGAGAACAAAGTTCAGGAATGAACTTACAGAATGGGTGCTTGGATCGCTCTTGGTGAAACAATCAACCAAGACTAATTTTGAAAAGTAACTTGCCAACACATTCAGATGAGGGCTATACAATTAATGTGTTTTAGCAGATTTGTAAGGTCTATGGAAAATGGTGTGAGTGCATTTGGGTTCATCCTTTTCTGTAAAAACCATGTAATTGTAGGATGTCAACTTGACAGTCCTGTGCGTTCAAAAGTAACAAATGAGTGTAGTGATCCGCACTTGTCCATCCTTCTCCCTTCCCAGCATTGTTTGTACGCCTCAACTTGTAAGGCACTTTTTCCGCCTGTGAAGCGCTTAACAAAACTAACTGCACAAGATTGAATTGTTGGGTCAAATGATTCGACAGAAGCAACTCAGTGTTTAAAAGGCATTTGTAGTCTTCAAGTTTGGAAAGAACCTCCCAAGTGTGGGACATCTGATGTGACATGCACCTGCTTGCTGTAGTCTGCAGCCAGCTTTGTCGATGCTGTCACCAACTTTAAATTGCAACAGAGAATTTTGACCTACTTCTTCAGTTTTTCTGTTTTGCACAACATAGAGGACACTGAAACCAGGTCAGTCTCGTGCTGTTCGGGAAAGCAGGGATAAATGCTGATCTCCTCTGTGTGGAGGTGCTACTGAGATACCAATACACTCCCATAATAGGAAGCCTATTGGGGGAGTATCTCTTAGTAGAAGACCCTCTAGGTAACCAGAAAGCTCTTGAGTGGGAGAGAAAAAGGCAAAAAAAAGTGTATTTCCCATGGCAGAGTGGAGAGAGCGTTCAGCCTCTGCATCCTCCCTTCCTACTAGCTTGTGTAGATGGCCAAGCACCAGAGCAGGATCCTCTTCCAGGTCAGACCAAGAGAGAATATTTGGTTATCTGTTGATTTTTTTAACTTTTTTTTTTTTCCTCCTTAGGAACAGGGCAGATTACATAACACGCCTTTATTTTCTTGTTAGTAGCCATAACTCTTTTATTTTCTCATTAGCAGAACAGCAACTTTACCAGAAGTGAGTAAAGGGGTGGCTTTGGAAAAAGAAATTTTTACTGGGGCCAGTTGGAAAGTAGCATTGGGCAGAAGCAGGGCGAGAAGTGGAATGTCATGGAAGGGAAGGGATGATGTGGTGGGATGAGAAGGCATGAAGGGACCTGAAGCCAATGGAGGTGTATGTCCACGTAGAAAGGGAGCAAAGCTGTAAGTGAAAGGTTTACTAATTGCATTTTAATATAGAAAGAGCATTGATGTCTAGGAAGCTGTTAATGTATGCAGTGAGGCAGAAGACACAAAGCCAGCTTGTTCCTCTAAACTGAAGGGTGTAAGTGAAGAAAACAAGGTGGCAGATGCTGAGAACATGAGTGAACACGTCACGTGTCCCGGTTTCAAAAATATTCCTCATTACTTGCATCCTGGCTGTTACACCTTTTCCAGAGGGTGAACCATTTGTCCCAATCTGTAGCAAAGCAAGCCAAGTTTTCTGCTGCTGAAGGCTCTGCTTTTTACACAGAATGAGTGTAGAAGCTGGTGATCTCATATCTGTATACTTAACATGTCAGTTGAGAGCCCTGGAGGATTTTACAGTCTTTGAAGTCATGTGGGAAGTAGCAGACCTGGTCTGGAAAGCACTCCCCAGATCAAGAGACTTAACCAAAAGCTTTACGTGGGGACCTGGGGTCGATATTGGAAGATACAGTGAGAAGGCATGTGAGAAGCAACGACCTTGGAGTTCTTTGAGAAATCGAGTTCCTGTTTCTATAGAAAGTGGATTGAGATCGCCCATCTCAAAAGGAAATGGGGCTTTCTTGAAGGTCTGTTCTTAAAAGAAGGAAAAAGGAACTGTAGGGCTGAGCTACTACAGCTTGTTAGGGTGATGATCCATCCACCAAGCACTTGCAGTTTGATTTCTAGCATGTTTTGACTCCTTCATGAATCAGAAATCTGATCAGGACCAGGATCAGGTCTGCTTGATTTGATTTGAAGATGGGGGGGTTCATTTGCAGTTTCAGTTGGGATAGATTTCCTGAAAGTGTGCCACAAAACAAGACTTGGACAGCTCTTGTTCTTATCTTGGAAGGGTCTCCGGAGTATCTCAGGTAGGTCAAAGACATTTTCAGTGCAAGGGAAGAGAGCTTTTCCTTTGAAGGGTAGGAAGGATTGCTCTGGCTTCTTCGCACCAGTCTTTTGTTTGCGTTGTCCTTTATGGCTGCTGCTTTCAAACTTAAGGACTCAACTGGGAAAACTGGATGTGGATGTCTGTGAGCAGTGTCCCTGTGCTCTAACAAGTGCTCGGTAAGTGATAAACCTTCCCTCGTGCTGGACTGTGCTACAGATTGTGACACAAACAGCCTCCAACACTGCCTACAAGCTGGTTTGCAACTAGAGTGCTGTGGTTTTATTGATGGAGGTGAGTTCATGATTTAGATCTCAGGACCTAAGTGTTTTGAAGTGTGTATGATACAAGACTGGGCTTTTATTTCACTAACTGTGCTTCAAGTAATTTCTTTTCAAGCCTGCATCTTTCATTAAATAACTGTTCCAGTGTCTCCAACTGTACTGTAGCAAAAGTAATACTGGAATTGGACTGAGTCATCATTAGGGAAATATCTTCATGCAGCTTTGTTTAAATGCAAGTAACTTTCAAGAGCAATCTTGCTGAGTGGGTGGAAAGGTAGGAAGCAAAATAATTATGAAAAAGTTTGAGTCGTGGCAGGAAATAGTCCTGGTGTTTCTTAGTAGCCTTTAAATATTAATGCGGCTGCCTTCAAATTACAGTCTAGTCTTAGTTCTTCTGCCTCTCCTCTTCCAAAGCCAAGCAGTTTGTTAGTCCTCAGAAGCCATATTTGATGCCATATTTACTACAGTTGGTTTTAGTACGTAGCAACAATATTGAAAGATCTTTGGGCAATTCGGTGTGCATCAAACGCTCAGTTCACTCATTCGTTGCTGATCTGAATTGGGGTTTGCAGGAGGCTTTCAGCCCAGAGGGAGGATGTGTAATGTTCACAGACTGTCGGGCATGACCTTCTCCCTGGGGAGATCTTATACAGATGGGGAACAGGGGCAGGATGGAGGTGTAGTGGCTTATAAACATGAACATCTTATTTTGCTAGCCAGAAAATGTGTGGTGGAGCTCTGTGCTTGATCTGCCTGAGAAGGGTAGAATTGCTTGTCCCATCTGAGATGCACTGTGTAAGCGTCAACCCAAGCAACGTATTTCTGCTGCTGGAACATGGCAAACGGGGCATGAGTGGAGTTCAGGCTTTAGTCTGGAGGAGGGGGAAGCTGTATGCAGGCTCAGGAGGGCTTGTGCTTGCAAGAGGCTTGAGCCGCCCTTAGAGGAGAGATGTCCCTGTGTCATCGAGCGCTGGCAGATCACTGCCTGTTCTGCAGTCACTGAAGATCAAGACCAACCCATTTCAACCGTTCAAAATGTGTTAAATTGTGCGCCTTTACCTTTTGGTGGCTTTCAGCCCCGTTTTATCATAGCTGGTAAAAGGCCTTTCTGTAACGATGCTGTCTTGTGCCAGCAAGTAGCCAAACAACTTAGAAAAGATCTGCACCGAGGCATCAGATCCTGCTGCAAAACGGCCTCGCTCTCTTCATGGCAGAAGGAAGGTTAAATGGCTGCTGGCACCACACAGAGAAACGTGGCCGTGCATCGTTAAACAGCCTGTCTCTTCCCAGTCCGCCTCGTGTTCATTGGGCTTGTTCAAACACCCTTTCTGGTGATATTGGCTTGTACTGGCTTTTCTTACGCTCTCCACTGGCCATGTAACTGTTAGCTGAGTGAGCAAGGACGGGGGAATAAATCTGTTTGCAACTTAGTAAAAATTATATCATTCCTCCTTTCTGTGCCATCATTGGTCCCCATCACGCAGATTTTGCCTCCTTCAGGGTTTTTAGTCCCTCTTCCATGTAATCCTTCACAGCAGCATCTCCTCGGCCTGCAGAGCTGTGCTGACCTTCATGTCTCTCACAATGCTGTGCTTTGTGGGGTTTTTCCCAGCGCAAACTGAGCAGGGTTTGTGCTCTTGCTACCTCCAGCAAGATTTCTTCTTTCTGTTACCCTTTTGTGAGGTCTGTAGCTGTTGCCCATGGATTATCCAACCTTGATGAAAATAATGACTTTGGTCTCCAGGGGAAACAAATCCTCCCCTTTGGCTTTGGTGGGATCAAGTGTGTTTTCCAAAGTGTGACTTTTTTTTAATGCATAGAATTCCTCTGTTCTGCTCATCTGTCTTAGTGATCCAGCCCTAGAAGCACTTTTTCATCATCCTCACATATGATTTCTATTGAGCGATAAACTTCCTTAGTTTCGATGACTGTCCCATATTTTTGTTGCTTGTTTTGAAGCAAGTCTCTCTTCCCAGGACAGGTTGGGGTGGGGTCCAGCCCAATTGCTTTCCTGATCTCTGATAGAGCAGCATCGTCGTTGCTTCTGCAAGCCGGTTTCACAAAGTGAATACAACTCTGCTTGCGTCCACACTGGCGGCTTTGAGAAGCAGCGCTAGCTCACCCCCGAGCACAAATGCTGCAGCTGGAAGTACATCAGAGTGCTGGTGATGAAAAACCGGTCTATCCTGCTTGCCCGTAATGGATGCTTCCTGCTTATCCATATTCAGTTTTCAGTATTAAATCCTGAATTAATTTGTGGTACGAGTAAAGCTTGGTAGTACTAAATGTTGAATTTCTTGTATGTGAGCACAGAATCATAGAATGCTTTGGCTTGAAAACGACCCATAGAGGTCATCTAGTCCAACCCCCCTGCAGGGAGCAGGGACACCTTTAACCAGATCAGGTTGCTCAGAGCCCTGTCCAACCTGGCCTTGAACGTGTCCAGGGATGGGGCCTCCACCACCTCTCCGGGCAACTCGTGCCAGGGTTTCACCACCCTCATTGTAAAGAATTTCTTCCTTATATCCAGTCTAAACCTACCCTGCTTCAGTTTAAAACCGTTACCCCTTGTCCTGTCACAGCTGGCCCTACTAAAAAGATTTTTCCCCATCTTTCCTATGGGCCCCCTTTAAGTACTGCAAGGCCGCAGTCAGGTCTCCCTGCAGCCTTCTCTTTTCCAGGCTGAACATCCCCAACTCTCTCAGCCTGTCCTCCTAGGAGAGGTGCTCCAGCCCTCGGATCATTTTTGTGGCCCTCCTCTGGCCCTGCTCCAACACTTCAATGCCCTTCTTGTGCTGAGGGCTCCAGAACTAGACACAGGGCTCCATCTCCAGCTCTTCTGTCTCTAGGTAGACCAGCGGTGCTTAATCACGAATGGTGTCCGGTGCATTGCGTAGTACCATGCTGGGAGCTTGACGCTGCTGTACGTCGCTGGGTACCACGCTGGGTCGGTACGGCCAAACTGGGAGTACAGACATGATATGGTGTTTTGCAGGTGACCTGATGATTTTTCAGGCTTCCTGAATTTGGTGCAAACGTGCTGTGTGATGTTTTCTGCAGGGACCCACCTTTGCTCAGGGGGGCGATGAGAATTCATCTGCTTTTCACTGCAGAAAAGAGGGCTGCTGAGTCACGGGCTGGATGAGATAGCCTGTGCAGCCTCAGCTAGGTCCTAAGCATTAGTATTAACTGCTGAAGATGGGTGGTTTTGTGGGACTCTTGTGTTGCCTGGAGCATCCATTCATGTGTATGGATGTTTCTTTATGCTATTATTAGTTCCTCAAGGTCTTCCCAATACGCTGCGGAGGGACACGGCGTCCTTCCTATGAAGATGGGGTCTGTTCAGAGTCCTGCAAAATCCCTGTCTGATACAGAAGCCTGCAATAATATATGAAAAAAAGCAATGGGAAGTAATTGGAAAGCGGTATTAAAGCTGTCCATTCTCTTTATGTAATATTTGGGGGGGTTGTGGAAGTATTTAAAAAAAACGAAAGGTCTAGAGAGGAAGCTCAGGCTAGGGAGTACTCTGCCCTCTTTTGTGCAAACACGGCAGAACTGCAAATGGATAGAAAAAGTCAGAGTTGCGCTAAAGATGAGTTCAATATTCAGAAACTGGAATTTCCAGCTGGTAGCTACCTGCTTTTTCTGGATGTAGCGTGAATGACTTCTGCCTTGTGATACAGATGCCTTAAATCAAAGCAAAGGTTCCCAGAAGTAGAAGTATACCAGGGTTAAAGGCTAGGGAAAGCATGCTCATATTTCAAAAGGGCTGATGCTTTTGTTCTGTGCTGCTGGTTTGTGGATGGGTGACAATTGTTGTCTTTTATTTCTGGATAACTGGAAATAGATAGGTTAGCTTCTTCATCTCATGAAACAAATGGGAGAAACCCTTGCAAAATCCCATAGAAATGGATTGCTACAGGCGGACTGACCCAATTGCCTCAGTACCTTTTTGAACTCTTGTAAATATGGTTGTGTTTCTGGGCATATCTGATAGTGTTTGATTGCTGATGTCCTTCCACACTGGCTCTTGTTTAGCATTTCTCTGCTGACTTTGGAGGGGTTTGCTAACTTCCATGCCAACATTGAAACTTCAGAGTGGATGCCTACAGCCAAAGTAGGGCACAAACCATGTTTCTAAAATTATTCGGGCACTCTTTCATTCACATCTGGAAAACTGTGGATGCAGGTGTCCCCTGAAGGAGCACAGTCCAGTAAGTAGAGGTCCTGAGATGTGGGGGATAACTCCAGGTGTGTTTGTTCTAGTTCTTAAGAGCTGTCCCACAAGCATCTCCAAGAGCGTCCACATCTGCTGCCTAATACTGGCTCCCTATGCAGAGTCTGTATGGACAAAGCATGCTGCAACCTTTCCCTTCGTCCTGCGGGCTGCTAGGGAGATAGGGGGAAGCTCCCCACCACCACTAGTACCCCTGGACTGTCACATCAGGCCACCATGGTCTGTTGCTGCAGAGGCTTCAGAGTTTCACATCTGAGCAGTAGAAACAACTTCTGACCTCAGTGGGGCCAAGCTGAATCATTTGGCTGCCCTAACGATCCAGTGGGAGTTCACGTCCTAGGAAAGGTCTCATGGTGAGGTGTTAATCTTCCCTGTGCTCCCTGGGCTGCACTTGTGGAGCAGGACCTCTTGGATCCGTACAGTTCCTGCCTGTCTCTTTTTGGGTTGGTCCATAGACAGAGAGGAACCACTTTGCTTGCATGGATTGAGAGGAATCATAGAATCATTTAGGTTGGAACAGACCTTTAAGATCATCAAGCCCAACCATTAAAAGTCTCTCTTTCTGGTCCTCTTTTGACAGAGTTAGCAGACTGATGCTTGTGAGATGCACCAGTGTGCTGTCTGCAGTTAGTCCAGAGTTGCCTGCCCTTGCGGTTATGGTGGTGGCAAGTGTGAACACATGGGAGGAAGGTGGACTTCAGTTTCTCTGGGAGAACTGTCAGGCTTTTGTTTGCCAGTCATGAATGCAGGCTGCTGGAGAAGAACTTGAGTCCCTCACCCAATCCCATTAGAACATCTAATTTTCCAAAACCTCATTTTTTTGGCAACTATATTATGTTAGTGATGTGAACTGTGTGTTGGTAGAGCCTTCAGGAAATGTCTAGTTTTTTTAAAATAATAAATCTTGCTTTGGCTGCTAATTTTGGTCATCTCCAAGACAACAGTTTCAATTAGCAAATATATCTGAGGTCAACTTTAAAAGATGTAAAATGAAGGAGAATTTGACTTCTGAAGTGCTTCAATATTTTTTTCTCTTGGCACCTTTCATTTGCTGCCACTTTTTTTTTTTCTGTCTGGCTTTGTGTAATACTTTCTAAATCTATGAAGTGAGAAGAAAACAGACTTTACACTTCACAGTTGCTTTAAAGATGGGTTGTGATCTCCTCGCAGTTTCCACCTGACATGCTGGTGTAATTGAAATTGCTTTTGTTAGTACGCGTGGCATCAGTCCTGGTGACTACAGCAGCGAGCAATGGATGGGCAGTGCTTATCTGTTTGTGGCATCAGGGCTTTGTATCAGAAAATTGTTAAGAAAATGGTAAAGTTCCTGCACAGTTGTTAATTTTCTCAAGGCTGGGAAAGTTCTGGACGTTGGTCCTGTTGTGTGTTTCTTGCTTGGTAATGATTTTTATTTCATACAGCCTTATCCTTTTTCTTTTCGCCAGGTAAGAAACCCAAAGCAACCTGCCTTTATTGAGTTCTCCAGAACATAATCGACCCCTTGGTACATTATCAAGATGCATTAGGAAACTGAATATGGTGCCAAAAGAACTCCATGCGTTTCCATGACTCTCTTGGACCCTGAATCGGATACTTTTGGACATATATTTCTATTCTAAGGAGAAGAGTGTGTACTCCAATTCCTTTCTGCCAGCTTGCTGGCAGAAATATTTCACTAAGATCATGGACCACCCTAATAGGGAAAAGGATGAAAGGCAGCGTACAACGAAAGGAATGCCAGGAAGGAGCGGGCACGGTTCTCGACCAAGCTCATCGGCATCTTCTGGCGTTCTTATGGTGGGACCCAACTTCAGAGTGGGCAAGAAGATTGGGTGTGGGAACTTTGGAGAACTCAGACTAGGTAAGAATTAACTGTTTTAGTGGCCTGCATTATCCAGATTAGCATTTCACCATTGGAATATTAAATACATAAAAACTTAGCTTGGCTTGAGAAATGCGTGTGCTTGTCTCAGTTCCCAAGTGTCGAGCCACCTTAGCTGGAGATTCTGACTCAGATGTAACTGTTCACGTTATTTTTATTTGCATAAAGTCAAAGTGAATACACTGGAGAGGCCAATGATGCAAATTTTGAACAATCCCAACAATGAAGACTGTTCTCAGCACTGAATGTCTTGCCTAAGGTGAAAAAAAAAAATCTTCTTAACTGTCTGGATTGCTAAATCTTGCTCTCGTTTTCTTGTTTGTAAGTGAGGGTGCCCTATTAAAGTATTGGGCAAGACTCCCTTCCCAGCACTCGGCCACATCTTCGCTAACCTTGGTGCCCTACTTTCAGCCCCATCACCCACTCCCTCATCTGTCCCATGTGTTTGACTCGTTGGCTGACAAAGAGTGGGATGCACCGACTGGCCATCTGGCTGCTGCCTCTCAGTCGATGAACCGGCCTGGCAGCCTGTGATTTTTCATAGTCTGTTGGTGTCCTAACCACATGTCTTGCAGCTGGCTGCCCAAACAGATGGCTACACTAATACGTCGTTTGTTTAGGATGACTTAAGAGCCCGATGCACGTTTGACTCGTTGGCTGACAAAGAGTGGGATGCACCGACTGGCCATCTGGCTGCTGCCTCTCAGTCGATGAACCGGCCTGGCAGCCTGTGATTTTTCATAGTCTGTTGGTGTCCTAACCACATGTCTTGCAGCTGGCTGCCCAAACAGATGGCTACACTAATACGTCGTTTGTTTAGGATGACTTAAGAGCCCGATGCACTGCACCACACTGCAGTGCATCGGGCTCTTAAGTCATCCTAAACAAACAACGGTTGTTTCTTAAATGAGGTGGGGGAAGGAGCCGGTGTTTTTAATTACATTCCCCGAAGCTCCCAACATGTGATTTTGGTGTAGATGAGAAGCAACACCCTGTGATGGTCTTCATGGTGACTTAAAACCGTTGGCATTTCACCTCTTCTGCTTAATCATAGAATCATAGAATGCTTTGGGTTGACCTTTAGAGGTCACCCAGTCCAACCCCCCTGCAGGGAGCAGGGACACCTTTAACCAGATCAGGTTGCTCAGAGCCCTGTCCAACCTGGCCTTGAATGTGTCCAGGGATGGAGCCTCCACCACCTCTCCGGGCAACTCGTGCAAGGGTTTCACCACCCTCATTGTAAAGAATTTCTTCCTTATATCCAGTCTAAACCTACCCTGCTTCAGTTTAAAACCGTCACCCCTTGTCCTGTCACAGCTGGCCCTACTAAAAAGATTGTCCCCGTCTTTCCTATAGGCTCCCTTTAAGTACTGAAAGGTCGCAATCAGGTCTGCCCGCAGCCTTCTTTTTTCCAGGCTGAACATCCCCAACTCTCTCAGCCTGTCCTCCTAGGAGAGGTGCTCCAGCCCTCGGATCATTTTAGTAGTCCTCCTCTGGCCCCGCTCCAACACTTCAATGTCCTTCTTGTGCTGAGGGCTCCAAAACTGGAAGCAGGGCTCAGGGTGAGGTCTTACCAGGGCAGAGTTGAGGGGCAGAATCACCTCCCTCTGCGCTGGCCACTCTGCTGGGGGTGCAGCCCAGGAGATGGTTGGATATCTGGGCTGCCAGCGCACATTGCCGGCTCATGTCCAGCTTTTCATCCATCAGCACCCCCAAGTCCCTCTTGGCAGGGCTACTCTCGATCCTTTCTTCCCCCAGCCTGTATTGATACCGGGGAATGAAGTGATTTGCTGTGGTAGTGAACTTGAGGGCGCTCAAGGCAGGTTGGCTGTCATAAAGAGCATTTGCCCAAAATTTGCTGCGTATTTAGAACCAAAATTAAAATAATTCACGCATCAGGCATAAGGGATGATAAATCAATTGGGAAATAGCTTCAGGTAGCCAAAGGGTTATAATGCATAACTACTGATAGTGGCTTTGTAGCCCTGCTCAGAATCCTCGTTATCTTAGAGTAATCTATGTAGTCTTCCATTCTAAGGTTTGGTTATTGCATCTGTATGATGTGCCACTTCTCTGCAGTGCGAAGATTAACTGGTTTGTTTATGATCCGTCGCCGTAAACGGATATTTTGGTTTCACCATTACGTCAGAGCCGTTTTATCGATTTGCGGGAGCAGAGATAACACTCCAAAGGTGGAGAGAAACCAAGGGCTGGGACGAAACCTCCCACCTTCATGAACGTGAGTGCAATTGGCAGCTGAAGTGAAGTTTGGATCCTTATAGTAACATAACATGAGTTGCTGTATTGCATTTTCAGAGCCCCCCTGTCCTGCAACAGCAAATGTCACGATAGCAGGATCCCCTGGAGATGTTGAGTTGGTTTGTAATCCAAGCTCTGCTTTGAGATTTGGCAGCTGGGGTGGATCCTTTCGGGTAGACGGCTCCTGGCGTTTATTCGGCTGCTGCCCAAATCCTGACCTGGCTTCCACAGGTGGTTCTTTTTCACATTTCTCAAAAACACGAACGCATTGTTTCAAAGCGCCAATGTGACACAAGAGATTTCAATTCCGAAAAAGTCAGTTGACAGAGATTCATTTTTTAGCTATGGAAAAAGCAGCGCCTGTTAATGGAGTGGCTCTTTTTTCCATATAACAGTTTTGCTAATACTGATTAAGTAAGTAGCATGCAATAGGCGTAGGGACTGGTAACAGTGATTGGGTGTAAGTGCCTTACAGAAGCTGGGGGGTTTTTTTAACTTCTGTCACTTTTGGCCAGTCACTATAGCTTTAAGAACTCCTGTTTGCTCAAATATCAGATACTTCTGTTGCATGCAGTGATGCTAATTATCGCTGGACTGTGCTGGGGGGGAGGAGAAGCCGTGCTCCTGAAATAGGAGCAAACAAGTCTGACAACAGTTTTGTCCTGCAGAGGTGAGTGGCATGCCTTCTGCTTTTTGGCTTTTTTTTTAATGTGGGTGTTGGAGAAATTAAGCACCTGTGAATGCTTTTAGCAACACAGGAGGAACAAAGTCGCACACTGATAAACAAGGGGAAAATACACTTTTCCAATTCCCCAAAGAATTTCTTTTTCAGGTGTTGTGTTTTCATTCTGAGCTGCTCTCGTATTGCGCTCCCACGCTGGACAGAGGACTGGTTGTTCAGGGAGGAGATGGCATGTACGTACAGAAGCCTTTTTCTGCAAATATCAAGCTCACTGCTTAGGGTTGATCTTTCTTGCTGCAAATGCAGATAGCCTCAGGGATATTCTTTTTTTTTTTTTTTTTTTGAACTATGTGGGAGCAACACAGTTGGACTCCAGCCCACAGACGAGCTGAAATGGGAAGATGAACACAAAATTCTGTGTCTGGCCCAGAGTAATAACATGAATCAGGGTTGACTGGATGCTCTTTTTTTTTTTTTTTTTTTTTGGACAGGCTGTGGATTAGGTGGTCTGTAAGAGCTTTGGTTTTCCAAAGCAGCTCAACCTACTAGCTGGGGCCTGGTGCCAGCAAAGAGCAGGATATCTTGCTTGCCCATCCCCGGGCTCTGCGTGCTTACGGGGATTCGTTGCCTTCCATGCAATGCTGAGCCCTGTTTTACAGTTCCTGCTTGTCCATTGTCTGCCAAGTTAATTCTCCTGCTACCTTGGGAACTGGAGCGCACCTGAAGTTTTATGGCATGACTTCTGCCATTACGAGGTCCTGCACCTCCACCCCAAACTGGTAGGAGAACCGGCATTACGTAAAACAGCTCACAGGGCTATAAAATCACATCATGTTACCAGGAAAAATCAGGGATCTAGTGCTGTGATAAGCCACAGCTGTAAACTTCACCATAGAAAAGATACATCAATAAAAGATATAACCCTCCTTACATTGACTCACAGACTTACCCAGTAGGTATTTCTTGTATTTGCCTGAAATCCTGAACCATGAGCCACATTAGGGGTAAATAAGCCTCTTCAAATACCTCATTTTTCCCAGTGTTTGGCACCCTTATTTAGTAAAGCAATTAAGTAGGTAATAATGTAAAATTCTTCCACTTTTGGTGGGCTGGAGGGTTTTCCTAAAATAAGCGTTAGGTTCTGCATAGGCCAGGGGCTTATTTTAACACAGAGCTGTAGACTGGAGCCCAAATCTTTCTGCTCTAATGCAAACATTATCTGACACCTTCAAAACAGTGCTTTCAATTATTTACAAATGACAATTAAAGGAGCTTTTCTCTCTGTTTGGAGGGGGAAAAAGTGTTAGAAGGGTTAGATCTTCTATGGTGCTTGTATCCTCCCTTGACAGGCTACTGCACCACAGGGAGTTTCAGGGCAGTCCGTGTTTTCGTGTGCTATTCAAATTGCGTCATGTCCAGAAGTCAGATGTCAGCACGATTCACGCAGAGGTCTCAGGGCGATTCAGCGCATCTTGGCAGCAAGCCCCAAACTAGAAGAAAAGCCAGGTCAAAGCAGGTCCATCAGATCGGGGAAGGTGTCCCCCCCTAAAAGCAAGAACTGCCCAGCTGACTCCTAGGCTGCAGTTTGAAGCCAGGAGCTCTGCTTTAAAACAAATAAAACAATAAAACATCAGTAAAGATGATAATAGCATCTGATATTGGGGTTGGTTTTGTCTTCCCCCCTGACACCCTCCCCCCCCCTCCCCCAATAACAGAATCATGTGAATACAGGGCTAGAGTAATGCTAGGTGTGGAGGGCATGGGTTTGACTAGATCCAGTGTAGGATCCCCCCTAGGAGCTGCTACTCAGAGGCACGTGTTCTAGAAGGCACAGAAAATCTGGCACTACAAAATCGATGTGAGCTCATGTTTACGGAGTCTGGTCTGTCCCCAGGATCTGGTCTCTCTGCAGAGGCCATGCCACCTGAGGTGAGCTCTGCTTGGTCTCTAGAATGGCCAGTTGGATGCTTGCTCCATTACCCAGCCCTGACCTGTCAGCAGAACGTATTGTCATCATAAACACAAATATCTTAAGGGT